TGAACCCTCGCTCCATACTGCATCTCCCTAAAAGCCTGTGAAATGAAAATGCCTTTTGCTTGTTGCTTTGTGGGGCGTGCCTTGGGGTGGAGGATGGGGTCTAATTGAGATGAGGCCCCTCAAATGGTTTTGTGACTCGTAGGGGCCCCCTTTGCAGCAGCTCCTTTGTATCAGACTAGGCAATGGACATCGAGGCAAGGGGTCCTCATTCAGGGGCCCCGAGTGTCCAAATGGACACAATGGTCAGGGACAATCCAGGACACAGAAACGGAACAGACACTTGTGCGGCATAGAGACTGAAACATGATTCCTGCTGATAACTCATCCACATGGAAGAAGTGGTATTATTACCGAATAACTACTAAATCACTCAGAAGGATAAAGGTGGCTCTTAACTCCACATAGACTTCCAGACACCAAGCAAACACATCTGAAGTAGGCTATGAGCAGCATGAAGGGGGAAATGCATAGCCTAGGTTTGAACCTATTTGCTCATCTCCCAGCCAAGTGACCTTGGATAAGGGCAATGTCAAGGGCAAACACCAACTTTTAGAGCCCTGCCGCCCTCTTCTGTGTCTCAGGGGAAGGTGTGCATGCTGAGAGCACTGGCTGGCGCACAGGCTCCGTGTCTCCCTTGGGCCAGGCAATGCTCTGGACCTGGGGAGGCAATAGGGAGCCAAATGGACAGGTTGCTGCCCTCACCAATACACCTCTGAAGGAGATGATGCGGGGGGGGGGGGGGCGGCTGTGGCAAGCAGCTGACGTTGTGTGGCCAGTGAATGCTCGTGGGTGTGACCACTTTTATTAAGCTACCTCCTAGGTTAGTCTGGAGTGCTCTTCCGAGGAGGGGACAAGAGTTTTCAGATACTTGAAGTTGTTGGGGGAGTAATGTGAGGCGGAAATGTGACAGAGTGGCTAAGCTGCCCTCCCATGTGGTAAGTTAAGTCCCTGTGGGACGGAGGCGCTCACATCCCTATTTGACAGATGAGGAAACTGAGGCCGGATCCTGTAGCTACTGGCTCCAGGTTGCCTGAGGGTAAAGCCAGGACCAGAAACCAGTCTGTCTGCTCCACCCTGCCATCATCAGCTTGGTGGCTGCCCCAGGCAGGCTGGTCTTACGAGCTGGGGGCAGGCCTTGTGAGCTGAAAACACCAGCATTGAGGGTGTGTATGCATCTGCAGTGTGGCTTGCTCAAAGCATCCTGTGGGATCATCAGATGACGCTTCTTGCTGCAGAGGGCAGGGCCAGGGCCTGGCTGGTCTCACTGGGGGTGCTAATGATGCTCTCGCTCTCTTCCAGCTCAAAGCTCCACAATTCCCTGTGGTGGTCAAGCTGGGACATGCCCACGCCGGAATGGGGAAGGTAAGTGCGCTTACACTCTGTCCGCTTCACATTCACGTGACTCCCCCAAACTGCCTGCCCCCAACCTATGTCCCCCTCCACTCCAACTTCGCCAGTTCGCCCAGAACAGATAGCAGGCCCCAGAGGTCCCCCTCGGTTCCCCCACACGCCGTCCTTTGAACTCCTGGGGAAGGGCAGCTAGGCCCTTTTCTCCCCGTCCCTGTCAGCCGAACACTGCCTGGAGTTACTAATTGTTTTCTGTGATTGTGGCTTCAGAGAAATGGCTGAAGAAAGTTGCTATAGACAGTGTTTGTTTCACTGCTCCACAGATATGTCTTAGCCATCTGCTCCACAGATATGTCTTAGTCATTTCTTTATCACCACAGAGCTAGCTCCTAGAAAGCGATGAATGTACATGGCTTCCTGGAAATCAGTGAGTTTCTGCGAAACTGAGTAATACTTGACACAGTCACAGCTGCTGACTTGTGACAAACTCTAGCAGTCAGAGTCTCAGTTGCAAGTGTAGAAACTCAACTCAAATTCAGGGAGAAGGATGCTCATTGGTGCAGGCCATCAGGAATTCTGGGTAGTTCTAGGTGGGTCTGGATAAAGCTGCATCCAGTTCTCATGAGAATGGCCGAACTCAGTCTGTCTCTTGGTTCTATTTGCCTTGACTTAGTATTTTCTTCATGTGGTCAAGAGAGCCATGGGTGGCCCACCCTGGCCCCCAGGGAAGAAAGACGTTGCAATTTCCAGCGTGTGTGTCTAACCTCATGGAGGACACAGATCGGCTCACTTGCGCTGTGCCCGCCCTAACCCATAAGAAGGGTTCAGAGCTGTGTTCAGCCCCAATTGAACCATACACTTAGGGACCCCGTGGAAAGGAGGATTTACTCCCAAATATAAAGGGGTGTGGAAATATGGGGAGGAGGAGGGCGACCACGGGCCACCTCTCTGGCCTCAGGCTCAGACAGAACCGGTGAGAACACGTAACCCCAGCGCTGCCATCTCCTCTGTGGGGACCTGAGCTGCACAAGGCCGACACCACGTCCTCGACAGAGTCAGCGGGACCCAGCAGCAGCCAGTCCTGTGAGGTCCCCCACCCCCAGCCCCTGCTCTTCACCCTGCCATACCATCTCCGTTATCTCTTCCTACCTGAGCTCCACGCCCAACAGGCAGCAAGCAAAGGCTGCCAGGGGCCTGGCAGGGTGTGAGTCTGACATGAGTGTGAATTTGAGCAAGTCTCGGTCTCTTGGTCTGTTGGATCATATCATTCTAGAATGAACCCTCGCTCCATACTGCATCTCCCTAAAAGCACTGCCATGC